TTCCAAGAAGAGAAAATATAATTGGCCCAGTCTGGCTCAAGTCTATACCTGATTCATTCTCCTCTGGCCAAGTTCTCTCAAAAGAAGATATGGTCTAGGAAAAGTTTTATGCCATATCAATTATAAAATGATCTTTGTCTAGCATCCTGATCTCAAGAATTACATACAAAAAAATGCACCCCCAAGCATTAATTTCTTTACAAGTTATGTTGTGCTTGTTTTGTTACTCTCTCTCTCTCTTCCCTTTTTTCTAGACCCTTGATGTCCTGATGTGTATGATATTGCCATCCAGTAACCTCTCAGGACCATGTTTGTCCTTCTAAAGGTTATTATATGCTGTATACCAAAAAAAAAAAAAAAAAAGAACACCCACTGCCATCAAGTTGATTCTGACACTTAGTGACCCCTATTGTGTTTCCCCGGCTATAAATCTTCTTTGTCTATCTTCCACGGAGCAACTGGTGGGTTCAAACCACCAACCTTCTGGTTAACAGCCAAATGCCTTAAGCACTACACCACCAGAGCTCTTTATATGCTGTGCAGCATTAGCATTCTCAAAAATCCATGTTTTACACTTATCCATTGGATCTCTCTATCTAAAGTCAAATGGGGGCAAGGGGAGAGACTGTGCACATGTGACTGAAAATAAACCTTAATCATGAATAGATTGCCGAGAATCAACCCAAATAGAAACATTCCTCTCACCAAACAGAAACTGAAAATTAAACACTGTATATAGGCTCTTGGCCAAAGGCAATTGTTGATCCCTCCAAGACCATATTCCTGTGCTTCACCCAATCTGAAAATCATTTTTCAGGGATAATCAGATTTTACAGCTCTTGGAGGTCATATGACAATTGTCATTTCCATGTAAAGTTAAGTATTTGAAAAGCATTGAATGAGAGTGTCAGTGAGCAAGTGGAAGAGCAATTTTGGGGCCTTAAAGAGGAAGGCACAGGGCCACCAGCCTTCCATCAGAGAAACAATATAAGGCTACAAAAGCCTAATGGGTAAGAAAATGGATTGCTAGGGAAAATGCTAAGCCCTCCTCCATCTCTCATGACCAATGGAAGATCATCACAGCCACAGCAACAGAAGGCAAATGCCCAAACTGCAACAATCTTGTTCTTGAGGAATATTATATAGATGAGTCAAAAATGGCCTCTGTGCATTTGCCCAGAGTTGTTTACTACTTCGTAACAAGCTAAGGACTGTTAAACCCAAAAGACCTTCAGCTCAAATCTCAAATTTATGCATATTTGATTATTTTAAAATTAGCTTAAATAAGCAGATTTTTAACCATTTGAATTCCATAACACTTAACTGTGCTCATGAGAAACCTGTACGTTGACCAGGAGGCAGTATTTAAACAGAAAAAGAGGATACTACACGATTTAAAATCAGATAGAAACAACCTAGGTGCCCATCAACAGAAGAATGGATAACCCAACTATGGTACATACACACAATAGAATACTATACAACATTAAAGAATAATGTAGAAACTACAAAATACCACATAACATGAATGAATTTGGAGGACATTATGCTGAGTGAAATAAGTTAATCACAGAAGGACAAATACAGTATTAGTTCATTATTGTAAAAAATCAAGGAATGTTTTATATATGGAAGGAAACTTTTACAGCAGGAGGAAACTTTGTTGGTTACCAGAGGTGGGAGGGGAGGGAAAGAAACACTGCAAAAATAAAAATTAAAAAAATAAAAAAAACTTCAAAATTGGAAAAGATGTGCCTCAGGGTTGTATCTTTTCACCATACTTATTCAATATGTATGATGAGCAAATAATCCAAGAAGATGCATCAAGATTGAAGAAAAATTTGTCAACAATATACAATATGCAGATGACACAACCTTGTTTGCTGAATTGAAGAAGACTTGAAGCACTTACTGATGAAGATCAAAGACTACACCTTTCAGTATGGATTACACTTCAACATAATAAAACATAATACAACTGGACCAATAAGCAATATAATAATAAATGGAGAAAAGATTGAAATTGTCAAGGATTTCATTTTACTTGGATCCATAATCAACACCCATGGAAGTAGCAGTCAAGAAATCAAACTACTTATTGCACTGGGCAAATCTGCTGCAAAAGACCTCTTAAAAGTGTTAAAGAGCAAGGATGTTACTTTGAAGACTAAGGTGTGCATGACAGAAGCCCTGGTATTTTCAATTGCCTCATATACTTGTGAAAGCTGGACAATGAATAAGGAAGGCTAAAAAAAAATTGATGTATTTGGATATGGTGTTGGTGAAGAATATTGAATATTCCATGGACTACCAGAACAAAGAACAAATATGTCTTGAAAGAAGAACATCCAGAAGGCTCTTTGGAAGCCAGAATGGCCAGACTTCGTTTCTCATATTTTGGTCATGTTATCAGAAGGAGCTAGTCACTGAGGAAGGATATCATGCTTGGTAAAGTAGAGGATCAACAAAAAAGGGGAAGACCTCAACAAGATGAATTGATACAGCAACTGCAATGGCAGACTCCAGTATAGCAGTAATTGTTAGGATGGGCCAAGACCAGGCATTGTTTCATTCTGTTGTACATAGGGTCATTATGAGTCAGAACCAACTCCAGAACACCTAACAACAACAGAGCCTGTCTGGTTTACATACCCTTGGAAACTGCACCCAACATCTGCTAGCCTACATTAAGATAAAACCATGTAGTTATAAGGATCCTGTTCTTCATAACTCTTGGACCCAGAGACTTCCCACCTTGCTGCAGAAGAACATCACCTGTGGACACTTAAATTTCTCATCACCAACTTTCTCCTCTTCCCTCTCTTTTTCCTCCCTCTTCCCCTTCTAGTGGTGTAGTAGCTAGGGCTTTTGGCTGCTATCCAGAAGATCAGTAGTTCAAACCCATTAGCCACTCCCTGGAAGGAAGAGAGGCAAGCTAGTGTAAATATTTACAGCCTTGGAAACCCAATGGGAGTCGCTATGAGTCAGAATCCACTCTATGACAGGGAGTTTTCCCCTTCCAGTGGCTCCCTGCACCATTTGCATCTGGAAGACGTCCTGTATGCTATCAATGGTAGCCCCAATAAATAAACATGCTATGCATCATTTGTCTCATGGTCATATCTCTTTCCTTGACAAGCCCCAAATTCCCTCAAACTCATTATAAAGAGACATATAGTGTTATGAACACTGAGCAAATATTTAAAAAAAAAAAAAAAAATGTTGCCGTAGGGTTGATTCCAATTCATGGTGACCTCATGTGACTTAGAGTAGAACTGTGCTCCTCCATAGTTTTCAATGGTTGATTTGTTAGAAATGAATCACCAGACCTGTCTTCCAAGGTGCCTCTGGTGCCAACCTTTCAATTAGCAGCCATGAAGCCCTTAATCATTTATGCCACCCAGGGATCTTAAGCAAATAATGAAGATATATTGTTTAGGATTATGCCCAACACATAGTGAACTGCTCAAAACACTTGTTATTGTTATATTTTCTGTGATCATTTTCCAATCATTGTTACTGCAAGTCCCATAAGGCCTTTCTCCTACACTAATGCTCTCATGTTAGCTTCCTCAGAGTCTCTTTGGACTGTCTTCCTAAATTACCTAATTAAAGTTTAATTCCAGAGTTCTCAACCAATAGGGCTCATTAGCATGTTCTAAATGTGGGTCTCCTGGGGTCTTCTATTTCTTTCCTCAGCTGATGATGCTCAGGTCTCCTCTGAATGGAACATTTAAAATATATGCCCTTCAGTTTAGTGTGAAAACAGCAAAGAAGTGCAGATCCAAGCTCAAAGGAGTCAAAACAGAGGAAATAGGACATTGAAGGGGAAATGCTTCCCAAGATTTTATTATTCAGCTTATTACCATAAATATTCTTTTTTTTATTTGAAGGTATTATCTCAAAGGATTGCTTACTGGTCAGAGTGTATTTTTAATTAATGTAGAAAGAGGAAGTGGAGATGGCAACTAAGCTGATACATAACATGATGAGTAATATTTTTCCACTAAAATCTCTTGAGAAATTTTGTGAAGACTTAGGTGAACAGTTAATGAAGGAAAGAAGCAAGTTCAATTTTTTTCCACATTTCATCCACATCTGACTTCTAAATTGTGACTCATCCTAGGGCTATCCCTGGGCAAAAGTCCATACCGTCTGCCCTAAAAGTCAAGTGTAAGTATATTCTCAGTTTATAGGTCCATCATCAGTGTTACTTTTTGTAATAGTGCAGCATGAAAATACATAACTGTAATTTTTTCTTTATTTTTAACTAAAAAGTAATATTTCTTGTTTAAAATAACCAAAAAATATGAGGCATGAAGCTATAAAAAGCTCCCAAATGTCCCCTACTTCCCTATCTAACACCAAAAAAGTTAACCATTGTTAACAGTTTGTTTCTACAAACCTTTGAGGATGGACATAAAAATATAATTTTATATTTATTATTAACACAAATGGAGTCATACAATACATTAGTGTTTAATAATTTCCTTTACTCATATAGCAGTACATTAAAAACATCTTTCCACGTCAGTTCACAGGAAATGTATCTACTGTAACAAGTGTGATACGCATCCCCAGGGATTAGCCCCTTTTGATAACATGTCCAGAGAAGTGGGACAACATCTTGCCATCCTCATGTCAAAGGAGGATTCTGGCTTTACTTCCTCCAAGACAGATTTGTTCATTCTTCTTCAGTTCACAGTATATTCAGTATTCCTCACCAACACCATACCTCGTATGCATCAGGTTAGGAAAGGATATGGGAAGCCTGAAAAGTGCCCAAGAAAAAATTCTGCTGCTTGGAAATTTAAGAAGGGAGTTCTTGTGACAGCCAGCTTCACACAATGGAAAATCAATTTGAGTCAAATTGACAGGAAAAAAGAACCAAATCAATTCAATAGGAAAACCATAGCCTCTCCTCACTGGTCATAAGCTTCTCTCCCTTCCTCACCACTGATTTATTTCCTTTGTACCTTAACAGGCAGCAAACATTTGCAATGAAAAACCAAACATTTCTAAGAGAATTCATCCTTCTGGGACTAACAGACATCCCACAGCTTCAGACTGTAATTTTTATACTTCTCTTCCTTACATACATATTTAGCATCTTAGGTAATCTGACCATCATCACCCTCACACTACTGGACACCCACCTCCAGACTCCCATGTATTTCTTCCTCTGGAATTTCTCCTTCTTGGAAATTTCCTTTACAACCACGTTTACTCCTAGGCAGCTGCTCAGCATCTCTACTGGGAACAAGACCATCAGTTTTGCTGGTTGCTTCACTCAGTACTTCTTTGCTATATTCCTCGGGGCTACAGAATTTTACCTTCTGGCTGCCATGTCTTATGATCGCTATGTAGCCATCTGCAAACCCCTGCATTACACAACCATCATGAGCAACAGAGTGTGTATCCAGCTGGTTCTCTGCTCTTGGATAGGTGGGTTCCTAATTATTTTATACCCAATCATCCAGACCAGTCAACTGAATTTCTGTGCCTCCAATGTGCTGAATCATTATTATTGTGACCATGGACCCCTCATAGAAATATCTTGTTCAGACACAAGATCCCTGGAGCTGATTGTCTTCATCTCAGCAACTATGACGTTGGCTGTCACCCTAGTGCTGGTGATTCTCTCCTACACAAATATCATCAGAACCATTCTGAAGATTTCCTCTGCCCAGCAAAGGAAAAAGGCCTTTTCCACATGTTCTTCCCACATGATTGTCATCTCTCTTTCTTATGGCAGCTGCATCTTCATGTACATAAAACCTTCAGCAAAAGAAGGTGTTGCCTTCAATAAGGGAGTAGCTATGCTCAATACATCAGTGGCCCCTTTACTGAACCCCTTCATTTACACTCTAAGGAATAAACAAGTAAAACAAGCCTTCAGGAATGTGGCCAGAACGATTCTGAGTCTTACATGAATTTAAAGAAAATTCTGAATGATATTCCTGCAGTTCTTCCCCATAAAACTCAGGAGGAGCTTCTCTCACCTTCAGCTTGTTAAACAACATCTCAGAGGAATTTTCATGAGGAGATGTCAAAGTTCAGTTTCAAACTTACCAGCAAGGGGACTGTCTTCAGGAAAAAGAAAAAAATATATAATTCAACATTTCTTTCTCATCAGTAGATTTTTATAGTTAAAAATTTCTAATAATATTGATAGTAAATGAGAGAAATAACTGGTAAAACTCATTAGAATTGTCACAGGACTGATGTTCAGCTAAGCTTGCTGGTAAAGTTTAGATTTATGAATAGGGCTTTTATTTTTACCAAAGGCTGTAAGGAAATTGTCTAAACATTTTATCAGAAATACTGGATATTTGCAAGAAAAAAAAAAATCAATCAAACCAGTTGCAAGGAAATCCATTTAGACTCATGGCAACACCATGAGTACAGAGTACAACTACTCCATAGGGTCTTCAGAAGCAAATCAGGTCTCAAGCACTCAACCATTTGCACCACCCAGAAACTGAGACATTTACACAAAGGGGATAGTAATTACATATTATAATAAAACACTGCTCAAAACTACCTTATCCCAAATTTGAAACAATCTTTTTTCTTCAAAGCAATCTCTTGTTCTGACAATTGTCTCTTCTTTAGACAGTTAATACAAAAAGAGTTTCCTTTTGCAGAAATGATATTTCTAACTCTAACTCTCCTTCTAGTCATGAAATAGGAACAAAAATTATTACCAGGAGAGGATCTCTAACAGAGTGAACATCCAATCTACTTCAAAGGGAAAAATCACGGCAGTAGGAATCCTGGGTCATGTTGGCAATGGCCAAAACCTACAGGCTTCAGAGAGTATACTGAGCCTTGGGAGACACACTTTATAGACGAACCTGAGTAGTATGGGAGTGAAAAGGGCTGCCTAAGGAGGTCATAAGGAAGAGCATTCAAAGTGTTTAAGGGTTGTTCATTCAAAGGATAAAGAAACTTATGTGACAGAATTCTACATTCTATTAAAGTAGTAAAATGCTAATTCTAAGTGGACTGTGAAAAAATTAAGCATGCATATTACACTTGCTACCTTGAAAACTAAACAAAGGGATACAGTCAAAGTCACAATAAGTAAATAGATTAAAACGGATAGAAAATATTCAAATAACTCAAAAGCAAGTAGGAAATGGGAAAATTAAAAACAGAAGGATCAAGTCATAAACAATTAAATGGGAGACAAAAATACAGATATATCAATAATTATGTAAAATGTAAATGGTCTCAACATACTCTTTAAAATACAGAGATTGTAATAATGAATTATTTTTAACTATATGCTGTCTATAAGAAATTCTCTTCAACTATAATATTTAGGTATGCTAAAACTACAGTAGGAAAAAAATATATATAGCATGCAAATTCAAAAAATAAGAAAAGCTGGAGTAGAGTTGAGAGCTGTCCTAGATTGAAGACTGACTCTGTGAGAGTAAAATTAAAAGATTTATTGAAAGTCCAGAAGACATCCAAATTCAGAGTGAAGATGGCCACTCTCCAAGACAAAAAAAGATGCCAGCATGATCATACAGTCAAAGCAGGAACTAAATCTACAAAATCATGATTGGCTGAAAGACAGTCAAGGGAGTTGAAGGGGAGTTGAAGGAGAGTTGAAGGGAGTTGATGCTGGAACTTAGCAGAGACTGGCAAATAACATATAGGGGAGGTTACATGATTTAAAGGTACATGAATTCAAGGACATGTGCTCTTCAGTTAATTACAGGATGGTCACAGGACAATGGTAGAACAGGTTTTTCTGGGAATCTGTTATTAAAATTGCTTGCTCTAGAGTGTTTTTCCTAGGGTTCCATGTATAGAAGATTTATCAACCTTGCTGGGCACTGAGACCGTTCAAGCATAAGCTGCCGTATCCTGCATCTGTTGAGCATAGTGTAAAAAATCCCTAGGAATAGCTTGCGACATTCCAAATCTGCCAGACCACAAAGAAAAAAACCATCTACCAGAGGGGAAGAAAATTTTTTTCCCTTCGGTTTATAGGTAAGTGCACAGGTTAGAAAAGCTACTGTCAGAAAAGGCAGTTTTAAAATTTGACATGGATTCCAGACTCATGTCAAGACTTAAGATGGAGTCAAGGCTTTGCTTACAGGCTGCTCTATTTACACACACTAAGTACCTCTGATTTTAGACTCTCATACATTTTCTCTCTTTTTGATCAAGGAATTCCATGAAATATTTTGATCACACACAGGGTGGTGTGTTTTTTCCACATGGATTTTTTTTTATTCCAATTTCTTTTGGATGGCCACTTGTCTAATGTCAAGTCTTTAGACCCCAGCTGCCATTTTCTCTGAATGCCCAGACATCATCTGCAGCCTTTATGATATTTAGGTTTAGCCCTCAGTCTTTAGTGATCCTTTTAGGAAAGGTAAGTGTGGGATAGGGCCACAGTAGAGGAACTACTTAGAACTTACTTGTGCAATTGGGAAACCTATGAAGTGGAACTCAAGTTCAGCAACAGAATGGTGTCATCAAGGTACCCTTAAATGTCCCAATAAGGAGCTCTGATGGCACAGTGCCTAAGGCATTTGACTGCTAACCAGAAGGTTGGCAGTTCAAAACCACCAGCCACTCTGTGGAAGGAAGATGGGGCAATCTACTTCTGTAAGTAGTTACCACCTTGGAAACCCAAAGGGGATTGCTATGAGTCAGAATTGACTCGTTGGCAATGAGTTTGGTTTTCTGAAATGTACCAGTGTGCACTGGTAACATGTTAATTCTCTGGGTCAGAGCATTGTCAGTAATATTTATACAACATTTAATCATTCTTATTATAATGACAATAATGGTAAGTGTCATAAGTCTAAACAACAAGTTGACCTAATCCTAGAACCTATAACTTTTGGTAATCACCTAACAATGTCACAGAAAAGGGAACCTGGTTGGTCAGGAATATGAAGCCAGGTGGCCTTTCAGCATATCTTTTGGGTGTCCTTTTTTATTTTACCTGAGATATTTACCCAAAAATACCAGGAGATTTTAGCAATAGCCCACACTCTACCTTGTTGTGCTAACAGAAAATCCAGAGCAATTCTATTGGTCAGGACTATTTTGTAAGGAAATTTAAAGGTTTTGTTTGGGCTTCTAGTGAGTTGGAAATGTCATCAACTATCTCTTTCACAGTGGTGGATATATTTCAAATGGCATGTTCTAAATCAGCAACTCTGTACCAAGGAAGGAAAGCTCTCAAAAATGGAATACCTTAAGCTGGGATTTTCTTTCAAAGGAGTCACATTTCATTGGCTTTGTTCGTCTCTTGGCCATTTAGTTTTGTTTTTTTTCTAAGAGTTTTAAATTATCCATCCAATGGAGATTTTCATTGTAAGTGTGAATGTCTATGGGAACTCTAAATCCACCAGCGTGCATTGGCCAGTCATGGTCCAACCACCCAGGGAAGGTGAGGCCCAGGCAAATGGTCTATTTAATGGGTTTGGCTCTCTCTTTGTGGGGTATTCTGGCCCTCTGTGCATGTTCTTCCAGAATCACCATCCAGGGAGGGAATGTGTTGGTTAACTTTTTCAAGCCAGTTTCTTCTCAAAGTATTGTTACAAAAGGATAATTTTCCCATCCTTAGGAGAATCAAGAAGTGTAAAAGTGTTTGAAGAAGTTTAAGTAATATAGAGGATAATCAATTCTTATCTTGCTTGAGTTATTTTGCATAGTTAAACTTTGATATATGGAAATATAAAATGGGAATGAGTAAGGGAAAAAGGAAGCTAGATTGAAAGTACCAGAATAATCATATTTGATTGAGGTTAAATGTTTGAGGTTTGGACATTTCAGGAGGATGCCATAGCCTGATGCATATAGCCCATTTGAAGGTGATATTGAGGTTAACCATAGCATTAGGCATGAAACTGGAATCAAGTACTAGAGTAGCCAGCAGATCTGAATTTTTATGGACCATTCATTGTATTGCATGACAGATTGAGCATTCACTTAGGCTGGCTGTACTAGCTACTGATTGGGCTAATTTAACAAAAGCATTTTTATGTCAAGCTTTAATGGAGGCTAAGATGACAGTAGAAAGTCTTCATAATGATGGAAAATAGCCCCAAAAAACAGGAAAAAGGCACAGGTTAGAGCTATGATGAAATAAATTCCTGGGGTTTGTATATAAAAGACAATTAAAATGGCTATTAAGAACAATAGATAGGTGGTAGGTATGCTAAAGAAAAACCAGTATAATAAAACTTCTGGGCAACACGTAAAAACCATCAGTCAGTAAGGTGTAATTGGTAAAAAAACAGAGCAATTTTAAAGATAATTAGTATTAAACATAAAACTATGACTCAGATAATTTTTATCTACCAAGAGATAGTTATAAGCTCACAAACTCCAAAGACATGCAATAAGATAGGAAAAAGAATAAAAAGCAGTATACAAAGTCCAGTCCAAGAATTTTATCTCTATTCATGTGATCCTGTTGTATGATCTGGAGGTGAGCTGTCTATCTCCCACACAGTCATCTGCTTCTGGCCATGAGGCCAGGTGAACTTAAGTTTAAGGTCGTCCGTAGGCTGGACAGTCCAATCAGGAGCTGCAGTCTTTCTTAACTGAGGGAGGTGAATCCAAGTCTTATGCCCCTGTAATTTAGTGGCCCAGGGATTAGTTAAAAGAACTAAGTAAGGGCCTTTCCAAAGAGCCTCAAGAGAGTCTTTCAGTTGATGTCTTTTCCAGTACACACAGTCTCCAGGTAGTATTATGAGGCAGGGACCTCAACAGGTTTATTTTATCAAAAACATGTTGACTAAGGAATTATGGGTCTTAGCATAATGAATTAAAGCTTGACAGTATTTTAAAACACTAGTTTGGGTCAAATCAGAATCTACTATAACTGACCCATAGTTAGGGTCAGGAGTCTTCTAGTGACAATTTCATGAGTGTTAACTTATGTGGTGCAGAAGGACTGGACCTTAAATCTCATAGTGCAAGAGGAAGTATTTTTGTCCAAGGCAAGTGTGAAAAAGTAGGAAAATTGCCTGATTGATTTTTAAGGTTCCGTTAATCCTTTCCTCAAGACCCAACAATTATGTGTAATAGGGACAATGAAGTTTCTGAAAAATAGGAAGGATTTTACACATTTTCTTTTTTACTTAGTCAGTGAAATGGGTGCCTCTGTTGCTACAGAGGATTTTTGGAGTTCATTATGTAGAGATACTTTCCAAAAGTGTTTTGCCACAGTAGTGGCAGTAGTTTTACGGCTAGAAAATCTTCCATTCAACGAGAACATCGACAGACCATTATTAAGACATACTTATAACCACTGGAGGGAAGAAGTTATACAGAGATAATTTGCCATTCAACCATAGGTGCATTAGACAGAGGGATTCTCCCAGGTCAAGTTAGACAAGGATGACTTTGCCTATATTGGGAGCAGATTAAATAGCCTTTCAAATTTGATGAGCATTATTAATAATAATAAGCATTAAAAATAATAATTAATATTTACTATTAATAATAAAATTATGTAATGACTGTGACAACACTATCTTGGCCAGCAATACAAACCACCAAATTAGCGATTGTGTCTTGCTGGCAATCAAAGTCTTTCTAAATTTGGATTTTAGTTTCAGGGACCTAATTGTGATGAGTATATAAAAATTTAAAACTCTCTGGTGGTCTAGCCTGTCACTTATAATGTTACCATATTCCATACCCTTCCTTTTCATCCAAAGGAACTTTTGTGAAAAGGTAGTGAGCACTTGAGAGGCAGACTTTTTTGTAGCTGAATCAGCCAAATTGCTGTTTTGTTTTGTTTTCAGTTTCATTAGCTTGAAGGACACCTTTACATTGATGAGCCTGGATTTTTATCACAGCAATCTCAGTAGGTAGCAAAAGGGATTCTAGGACATCTGTTACTAAAGGACCATTTTTCATGTGTGTTCTAGAGGATATGAGGAATTCTTTCTGTTTTCATAATATCCCAAAATCATGAGTAACCAAAAAAATATATCCCAAATTGGTGTAAATGTTTACCAGTTATCCAGACGCCATTTTGCAAGCCCTTGTGACTGCAATCAATTCAGCTTATTGTGCTGAAGGAACTTCAGGGAGAGGGCTACTTTACAGGGTTTCTGTAGAAGAAGTGATAGCATATCTTCTCTGGTAATGAGAACTGGTGGGATCAGGTTTAAAATAAAATTCATCTGCAAACAGAACTAAATAGAGTTTGAAAGGAGGTTTCTTGTAAATCCTGTTGGAGTGACAAAAGCTGTTCAGTTAGGTCTAAACAATCTGTGGTGAGAAATCATCATCGAGAGGAAGTTACGATGTATCTGGGTTTAAAGAAGTTCTTGTCTGCAATCCGTTATAAGAGGCTGTTAAGACAAGGACATTATAAGAAGTCAACCTACTAGTTCAAAGACGCCATGTTAAGCTTGAGTTTAAAATGGCTGATACTGCATGGGTCCATAAACATCAAGAAAATTCCCCCAAAACTATATCAACAGTGTTCTTGACCAGTTTTGTGGTTGCAACAACTGTTCTAAGACATGGGAGATAGCCTCAGATGACTAGATGTAATTGGACACTATAATAGTCTATAGGTCTTTGTTGTCCTCCATATTTCTGGGTAAGGACCCCTAAGGTATTTCTCATGAACAAAAAAGTGAAATATCTGGGTTATCAGTAGGAACTCCCAAAGTGGATGTATTACTTAATAGCCCTTTTAGGTAGGTTACAGCATTTAGGACATTCTCAGCAAGCTGGAAATGGTCATATGCTGAATTCTTTAAATTTCTATAAAGCAGCTGAGCCATTAAATAAAAGTTAGGTACTCATGTTCTACAATAGCTGCAAAGTCTTAAGAATACTCTTAATTTTTTTGTTTTGTTTTGTTGTCATTGGAATACAATAAATTATAATAGCTTCCTTTCTTTTGAGTTCACCAGTGATTCCTTTTGCTGAGATTATATGTCCCAGATGTTTTACAGAACAGTGGGCCAATTGTAATTTTATTCTGGATACTTCATGCCAACCCCCAGTGGATAGATATTGTAACAGCAGGACACTATTGACAAGACCAGCTTGTTGAGAATATGAGCACACCAACAGGGCAACTACACTCATAAAGTGGACCCACAAGTGAGTTGTAAAAGTTGCAAGTTGACATGTAAAAATACATAGGTGATTCTGTGAAACTTTGTGGTATGGCAGTCCATGTGTATTGTTTATTTTCCCACATGAAAGCAAATAAATATTGACTATTGGAGAGTACAGTAATGTTGAAGAAAGCACTACAAAAATCAACCACTGAAAAGTGATTAGCTTCTGGTAGTGTATTGGACAAAAGGAAATGAGGATTTGGGACAACTGGGAATTGGGGAATTACTATTTCACTTATGGCTCTTAGATCATCTACAAATCTCCACCCCTGGTTCCTAGGTTTCTTCACAGCCTCTTCATTCAGTGTATTGCAGAGGCTAGTGCAGGATATTATTAGATGCTTGTCCAAAAAGTTTTGAATAATGGGAGTTGCTCCTTTCTTAGCTTCCTTTTTCAAATGACACTAGGATACTTTGGATAGAGGCTTAGAAGTGTCCATTTAAATTTAATAGGGTCTGCTGACAAAATGTGGCTGACATCCATGGAGGTTGTAGCCTAAAGAGTTTTGGGAACTGAAGATAGGTCATTATCAAAGGAAGAAGGCACTTGGGAGGTTTCTTTTGTGTTGAGTAAGTTTACAGCATAAAAGAAACAACAATCTTTCTCTAGTTCCCTTCCTACTCTGTCTGTATGATTCTTGAGAAGTTCTAAAAACAATTCCTCATCTTCATTAAAGGGTTTTGATAAAAGATTCTTTCCAATTAAATTTACTGGGGTATCTTCACCTAGCAGGAAAGGTTGCTTATCTATAATGAGACCAAAGGATGTGGGAATAGATTGAGAATGAGTTAAAATTTGTTCATGATTTTTTTACCTCCACAACCTTAGAGATTTTCTTACTTCGGGGTAAAAACTTTTGTAAAAATGTGGGGTTAAGAGCTGAAAGGGTGGCCCTATGTCAACTAAAATTTTCCAAGGTTCTCCATTAATTTGAATAGGAGTTTCTCCTTGGGGATTTAGTGTCACTACTGGAAAAGCCCCCATATATTCCTCCAGAGCCTCTTTCTTTTTTTTTTTTTTTTTTTTTTTTTTTCAACTTAAGGCAATCTTTCTTAAAATGCCAAAGCTTTTACAAACACATTGCTTGAACTCCCTTGCTACTCTATTGATTCTGAAAGCCAAGAGAAACTCCTCCCAGAGATGCCTTTTAAAATTTTAAATCCAGTACTATCAATGATAACCATTTTGTATGTTGTTGTTAAGTCCCGTCTAGTCAGCTCCAAATCATAGTGACCCTACCTACAACTAAACAAAACACTGCCTGGTCTTGTGTCATCCTCACAGTACTTGCTATACCTGAGCACATCATTGCAGCCATTCTGTCAATCCATCTTGTTGAAGGCCTTCCCCTTTTTGTTCACTCTCCACTTTACCAAGCATGATAACCTTCTCATGGGAATGGTCCCTTCTGACAACATGACCAAAGTAGGTGACATGAACTCTGGCCATTCTCACTTCCAAAGAGCATTCCAATGGCACTTTTTCCAGGACAGATTTGTTAGTTCTTTTGGCAGCCCATGGTACTTTCAGTATCCATTGCAAGCACTACAACTCAAAAGCATCAACTCTTCCTCAGTCTTCCTTATTCATTGTCTAGCTGTCACAGGCATATGAGGCAATCGAAAATACCATGGCTTGGGTTAAGTACATCTTAGTCCTCAAGAGTCATCTTTCCTCTTCAGCACTTTAAAGAGGTCTTTTGCAGCAGATTTTCCCAGTGCAATATATCATCTAATATCTTGACTGCTGCTTCCATGGGTGTTGATTGTAGAACCAAGTAATATGAAGTCTTTGACAACCTCAATCTTTTCTCCATTTATCGTGATGCTGCTTATTGGTCCAGTTGTGAGGATTTTCATTTGCTTTATATTGAGATGTAATCCACACTGCACCCTGTAGTCTCTAATCTTCATCAGTAGATGCTTCATGTCATACTCACTTTCAACAAGCAAAGTTGTGTCTTCTGCATATTGCCAGTTGTTAATGAGTCTTCCTCCAATCCTGATGCCACGCTCTTCTAGAAGTGGAGAAGTGGAGAAAATCCCAAAGAAGCTAAGGACATGTCCTTTGTCCCCTGATCCCACAGTGAATTAAATAATGGGAGGTGAAGGTTGAATATCTGAAAGTAAGACTTAGTAGGGAATGGTGGGAAACACATAAACCAAAAAAAAAAAAAAAAAGCCATCAACATAGAGAGGCTAAGTAACTTGCCCATATATCACACAGCTAGTAAGTAGCAGAGCTTGGATTTAAACCCAGGAAGTCTATATTTTTGACAACTAAGCTAATTCCCAGTATAAAGGTCATAACGATGAGTTTTTTTTAAAAAAAAAAAAAAAGGTTGCTAGACCTAGGGGCTCAGGATCATGGTCTAGAGGGACACTAAGGTCAATTGGTATAACATAGTCTACAGTGCTCTACATCCTTCTTTGGTGAGTAGCAACTGGGGTCATAAAAGCTTGTAAGCAGCCATCGAAGGTGAAACTACTGGTGTCTCCATGTCTGCAGTAAAGAAGAGTGAAGAAAATCAAAGACACAAAGAAACAATTAGTCCAAAGGACTAATCGTTCACATGAACCCAGCCTCAATGATCCTGAGACCAGAACTAGATGGTGCTTGGCTACTGCTACTAACTGCTTTTAAAGGGATCATAGTTTAAAGAAAAAAAATCTTACTGCCCTCAAGTCTATTCCAACTCATAGAGACCTCTCCTTGAGTTTCTGAAGCACTATCTCTAAGGAAGTAGATTGCACAGTCTTCCTTCTGAGGAGGTAGGTTTGAGCTGCCAGGCTTCTGGTTAGCAGTCAAATGCCTTAGGTCACAAATAGAGAGAGAGAAAAATGTTAAACAAAACTCAAAATCACTACAAAGCCTAGGCTTAATGGTCTGATAGAGACTGTGGCCCTTAGACACCCTTCAAGCATGGAACTGAACTCATCCCCATGGCTCAACTTTCAGCCAAATGACAGGCCTATAACATGAACAATAATAAAGGGAGGTACACACTCAGTAGAACTATGAGCCATACAGACCAACAGGACAGCATTTGCCCAGAGATAATACTCACAAGGCAGGAAGGGATAGAAAAGAAGGATGAAGGGAAATGGTAAACACAGGGAAGAAGTGGAGAATGCTATTACATTGTGGGGATTGCAATGAATGCTACAAAAAAAATGTGTATGAATTGAATGGAAAACAAATTTGCTCTGTAAATTTTCACCCAAATCAAAAAAAGAAAAAGAAGCCATCAAGTGGATTCCAACTCATAGTAACCCTCATTGGGTTTCTGAGGCTGTAAATCTTTATGGAAGTAGATTGCCCAGCCTTCCACTGAGTGGCTGATGGGTTTGAACCAACTTTCAGGTAAGCAGTCAAAGCCTTAGGCACTATGCCAATAATGTATAGGTGGAGCTATATGACTGCCTAAAGTACATAACTACAAACATATGTGCTCTTCTGTTAATTACAGGATGGTCACAGGACAATGACAGGACAGGTTTTTCTGGGAACTTGTTATTAAAATTGCCTTCTCAAACATGTTTTTTTCCTGGGAGTCCATTATATAGAAGATTTATCAATCATGCTGTGTGTCAAGACCCTTTGGGCATAGGAAATCCCATCCTGCATCTGTTTAGCATATGGAAAGACCCCCTCGGGATAGCTTGTGACATCCTGCAACTACCAGACCATAGAGGAAAAATATGTTTCCTGCAAGGTACAGGTCAACACAAAAATTAGACAAGTAACTCAGTAATGTCACAGAAGGCAGTTTTAAAATTCAACATGGATTCCAGACTCATGTCAAGACTTAAGACAGAGTTAAGATTGTACTTTCAGGCTGCTCTATTTACACACATCAAGTGCCTGTGGCTTTAGACTCTAAAACACAGCAAAGAAAATTACAAGAGCTAAAGATGGATGTTATATAATAATGAAAGGATCAATTCAGCAAGAGACATCCTATGTGTATATGCACCTAACAAAAGAGTTGCAAACCATTC